CAACAACCAAACCAAAACCATCACCCACCCACACAACATCCCACCACAAACCAATAATCTTGGGCACTAGAGCATGCCCTGAAGAGCCATGTCTACACGTTTCTTAAATACCTCCAGGGATGGTGACTCCACCACCTCCCTGGGCAGTCCATTCCAATGCCTGACAACCCTTTCAGTAAAGAAATGTTTCCTAATATCCAACCTGAACTTCCCCTCGTGCAACTTGAAGCCATTACCCCTTGTCCTATCGTCTGTAACTTGGAAGAAGAGACCGACTCCTGCCTCTCTACAGCTTCCTTTCAGGTACTTGTACAGAGCGATAAGGTCTCCCCTCAGTCTCCTCTTCCCCAGACTGAAATGACAAACATCTCAACGTTCCTTATACATCTTGCAGAGTTGCTCAGGATCCCACACCCAGAAATTGAAGACAGCAACTGAGTCCATAGGACTTGCAGTGCTTTGGGGATCCTGATCTAAGTGCTTTGCCGCTTTACTCCCTGAACCTTTTAGCCATATGAGGCATCACCAACCGTCTTCAGGCACGCTCGTACCACCAAGCACACAGCATTAGCTATCAGGCCTTCAGTGGATTTACCTCCGACCAGCTGAAAGGGAGCAGGGAAAGCAGATCTGATCTTAACTGTGTGATTAGAAGAGATGGTTAAGAGACTAATCTCATCAGACCAATCTCCTACCCCTCAGGTTGCCCCATTGCTGTCCTTCTATGAAACCCCCCCATTACCACTGCCAGGAGCAGTTTATTTGCCTGGTCTCAGTTCTCCCATATCTACCCCCTCCGATGGCAGTGGGTGTGCTGGTAAAGACCGGGCCGCACCACTTCTGGGGGGGTGGGCAGGAGCCGCCCTCTTCTGCCCAGGAAGCGGGGGCTGGAGGGGCTGTGCCATGACAGAGCTGCCGGGCAGAAAAGGACCTGGGGGTGTTGGTCGACTGTCGGCTGAACATGAGCCAGCAGTGTGCCCAGGTGGCCAAGAAAGCCAACGGCATCCTGGCCTGTATCAGGAACAGCGTGGTGAGTAGGGCCCGAGAGGTGATTGTCCCCCTGTACTCGGCACTGGTGAGGCCTCACCTCGAGTACTGTGTCCAGTTTTGGGCCCCTTACCATAAAAAAGACATTGAGGTGCTGGAGTGGGTCCAGAGAAGGGTAACGAAGCTGGTGAGGGGTCTGGAGAGTAAGTCTTATGAGGAGAGGCTGAGGGAGCTGAGGTTATTCAGCCTGGAGAAGAGGAGGCTGAGGGGAGGCCTTATCGCGCTCTACAACTACCTGAAAGGAGGGTGTAGAGAGGTGGGGGTCATTCTCTTTTCTAAAGTCACAGGCGACAGGACAAGAGGAAATGGCCTCAAGTTGCGCCAGGGGAGGTTTAGGCTGGATATTAGGAAACATTTTTTCACTGAAAGGATTATCAGACATTGGAATGGGCTGCCCAGGGAGGTGGTTGAGGCACCATCCCTGGAGGTGTTCAAAAGACAGGTTGATGTAGTGCTGGGAGGTATGGTTTAGTGATGATGCTCCTTGCTTGTTGTGTGGGTGACTATTTTTGCCAGTTAGGTTGATGGTTGGACAAGATGGGGGGGGGGGGGGCAGCTGGTCCCGTCGGTGCCGGGGTCGCTCCCTCCCGCCGAGGCGGGAGCCCTGCAGGCGGCTTGCTCACGGTGGCCGCGGGCTGGGCATGTCACGGAGGGACCCGTCATGACCGGGAGATTCCCCCCCCTCACCCCCCGCTGCGTACATCCCCACCCCCCATAT